ATGTGTCGCAGTGAGTGCGAACTGCCCCATTTGAGGTGGAGTCGACATACTTCACTCGAAGGATAGTCTTTTAGCAGTGGTGATCAAGTACCTCTAGTTTTTGCTTATCTTCCACACGTAAAGTCCACTATTTAGAGCCGTAAAGAAGGATTGGCCGAACGGATGCATGGCGTACGCGAATCTTCGTTGTGATGGCGATGTCGCGTCGGATCTATAGACACTTGCTAATACTTGAGAAAACACCGCGAGTAGCATCGATTCAGAACCAATGTCGTTCTTACTCTGTCTATTCGGTAGCAGTCGCGCCTTACTATATTTGAAAATGTTTGTTTATTCAAATTTAAAATCCTTAATTTCGCTAGATCCCTTCTTCTGATCGGAAATGTAGCTTAACAATACTTTGGTTTTCCCAGCGTTTATGAGCCGACTGACCTAGCGACCTCATTAGCTGGAACTACTAGGGCGAATACAGACTCTCATGCGCTATGCACCATTTCTTTCTTTTGCAAAAGTCAGCTTATATTTCCAAACGTCCAGCTGTAGGTCCCCCCCCGTTTGGTCGACGAGACACTTAGTTTACTTCATTTTTCCCGATTGTAGTAAGACCGCCATCCTCAACCGAAACAAAGGACGAGAGCTACCAACCTCCCTGCGTCAAGTTCCGCCTCATATAATTGGGCAGTTTTTGGATATGCTTTGCTTTGAGCCGGTAAGACTTGATCCACTTTCGCACTTGGTCGTTTAAATTTGAAGAGGACACAAATCTTTTTACTGCAAAGCAACCATGAAGCAAAACGCCAAAGCTTGCCTTACTTGAAATCAAAATGGATAGACGGGCTGCTATTTTGTTTCATCCCGAAATAGGGGCCGGCGGGGAGGCATATATAGGTTAATTTCATCATTAAATGTGACACTTTGAGAGGTTACCTCGAAGCAGTCGTGTCATCAAGCTGTTGTTCCTGGTAACTTAAATAAATCTAAATAAATAAATCTATGGAAGCGCGTGAGCTGTTGAAACGTCAGTCCAAATACAATTTGGTCCACGAACCCGCCCTTTCTCCTTCTTCCTCTTCATTGGGAGACGATGCACGCGATAAAGTCTTCTATACGTCAAATGTTTATATTCATGTTCAGGAATACAAAAATAAAGATTGCCTCTGTGACTTGGCTTTCGTCATGTTTCTGTCGTCTGGTAGGTATTTTAATGGTTAAAATAAATACTACTAGCATAGAGTGCGTAATATATGAATAGTTAATGGTTAATCATACTGACTACAAGGATAGGCACTAAAGGCTCGGGTACGTATTCCGCCGTGATGGCAATAACCGAAATCATTAAACTCTTGTATGTTGGCAGTTTGTGAATATATTGCGATTTTTCTGCTAAAGTTGATAGATTTTAGCTCAAATGTTCATATTAACTTTCTGACCGAGCCTGAAAAGGTTTTTCCTGAAGGATTTATTCAAAGTTGCGCATTAATTTTTGAGAGAATCAAATAACCCAACAATATTCAGTTCGATTTTATTGACAAAACAGAGGCGAATGCCTTTTAACCCCTTCAAGGATACAATGGAGCTAAAAAAGGGTATCAATACATAAACAAAATTTAAAAAGAGTTTGATTGATTCATTAATACAAAAAGCAAGCAGCCGTCGGATAGTCAAGAGATTACGTATAAACCACTAATTGCTTGTTGTGGGTAGGATACGTACATGTTATTGCAATACTACCTATGCCGATTAGCACACCGTTTGTGAATGAGAAGCCGGCTGTGTTTTACAATTTAGAAGGTAAATCCTCCGGCTGGAGGCTCTATAACTGCCAATTTGAAGAAAGTTGCAGGTATCAAATTTGAAGGGTATAAGCCAGCGCTTAGACCAGTCCGCGAGCTTGTACAAGTTTATTTGCAGATGGTTTAATGATACTATAATCTATGAAGTGTTCGGGCGTTTGTAATACGAGCCCACCATTCCTGCTCCTACTTCCTCTCAAACCCAGACTAGGGCTCGTGAGAGCATGCGATCAGGATAAATCGTGGCGTGTTGCCGTATGCGTTTTAAAGAGCCTTTTCCATTGAGCATTCGTCATCGTCTTTCAAGACCATTTTTAAACTGTTTTAGGAATACTTGATGGAAGAAAAGATGAAACGCCTGCTAAAGCCGATGTCGGAGTCAGATCAGAAGCTTATTCGCCTGGATGCCGTTCTAAATGTGAGTGTTTGTGCTCTGGTCATGTGCCCTGACATGAAAGAAGACGAGATCATGTTGGAATACGCGGGATGTGAACCAAGAAGGAGTCCCTAGTAGACAAGCAGTCATAGGAGTTTTAAAGTTTTACGTTTTAAAGCATATTGGAAAAGATGGAGCACTGGATGCCATGTCCTACAGAAAATTATATGTGTGATTCAGTTCAGTTTCACTACGGGAAGGTAGACAAGCGCCTTTTAGCTTCCTTTTGGTAAGACAGGACTTAGAGTTGTGCCAATAAGACAGAAGCTTCGAAAAAGCGCTTGTTTACGTAATTGCAGACGAAACTCAAGTAGCCGCCGGTTAGTGGGAAATAATAAACATATACGGCTACTCACTTATTACGAGTAGTATAAGTATATTAAAAGTATTGCTTTAGTGCACGTACCTTGTCTTACTGGTGATGCTAAATGACATGAGCCAGTCAAGTGGAACAAAAGCTAAAAGAGCACACAGTCAAAAACTCTGGGCATTTGTCGGAAACTGTAGAAGTTTGAAGTTCGTGATTCCAAGGATTTCAATGAGAAAAAAATTTCTTTCATGGGAGGAACATGTACGCGAAATAGGACCTACCTGCTGATGAGAATGTGTGAGGCAAGATAGGGAGAGCCCATCACAGGCATCGTCATTATATTAAAGGTCGTAACGAGGAGGGACCACAGAGATCACGAGATTACCACCGAGATGATGATAATAATAATAAGACTGTAACTCATTAGGAGGAAACCAGGAGGAAACTCCACCCCGCATACTAATTGCGCGTCCCAAATTTTCATTTATTCTTCGTTTAATGCCGGGGGTGAACATAGTCGTTAGTGAAGGCCTACTTAAATGTACTTTACTGAGTACCAACACCTATAAGATGCTTTGTAAAACTAGTGAGGCCTCTATTCTGTCCGATGATGTGATTTTTGTAGTTTTCCGTAATTATAACCTACGTTTCCACACACTTTTTCTGAATAGGTTCTCAATGTCCACAACGAAGAGCAGTTGGACAAGCTATTTACTTACTTCCTCCTGCCATTTGAAACTAAACCAAAGACACCTAAGAAGGTCAATTTTCCGCAAACAAATACATCCTCTTCAAGCATAATGGGTGAGTAGTTGCTGTATTGCGTTGAAAATAAATGATTTTATACTTCCAGTGTTTGTCTGAGCTTATTTTCTGCACATATTCCCATGTTCAACTTGAAAATTCTATTTGGAAAATATACTTTTTCGGCAAGTAATCATCGGGCTGATTCAACTGCACGGATAATGAAGGTAGTAGAGTTGCACCGGGTTGATAACTGTCCTGTGATTAAAACTCATCATTTTCACACCACCCGCATGGCGAGATGGACATGTAGAGGTCATTGCACTGGGGGGAGGGTGGAAAATAGGGTTAGCTGTGAGAACTACCCTAGTCGCACTTGCAGATCAAGTGGACAAAATCCGCTTTAAATCCGACATATGTGTTCAGCTTTTTCCAGTAGGATTCCATGATGGAATCCGCTTGGATTTGCTACTAGGCCTTTCTAGCACAGGGAATCCATATAAAGAAACAAATTTTACTCGTAATCCTTGCACATCTTCGGCTGGTAAGTGGAACTAATTTGAGGCCCTCGTCATGGCCAACACAAAATCAGCGTGGGAATGTTTGGCCCTCCACTGCGAGCAGTATCAGCCAGCAGGTTAATCTGAACAACCATCACGAGTGTCTACGTTCACGGCTTACTACAGCCTGCCTTTATCGATATATCGATGACCTCCATTCCAGCCGTTCGGAGTCTACTTGATCCACGTCCCCCTAGTAGCAAATCCAAG